ATGATTATTTTAATTTTTCATTATTTTATTCGAATAGTCTGAATCTCGAGAACAGTAATAAAGATCTTATTAAACTCATATGATTATTAATACAGTTGAATCTTCCAAAGCCGATTCTGTCAAAACTAATAACCTATTCATGAATATCGGTTTTGCAAGGTTTAACTATATTTTTATCCTAATTGTTCACCTTGAATTGCAGAATTGTTTTATGGATCGCACTAAGAATTGCTTAAACAACAATTATTGATTTTTAAATTCTAATACTCTATTATTTACCCACGCCTTCCAATCTTTCATTAGCATGTTACCTTCGATAATAGCTCGTTCTTATTTCTTTAATATTTAAACAATGCTGCAATGCAGGAATAGATCACGAAGCTCTTATATTTTAGTATTAAATTAAATAAAACTAAATAAATAAATAAATAAAAATAAAATCTATAGGAATTTAATACAAGAAGATAAAGTACAATCGGTGTATAATGTCTTGTCAGATAGCCGTAAAGAAAAAAAAGGTATTAAAATTAGTCAATCATAGTTTACATTACTGTATTTCTAGAAAATTTCTAGAACCAACTAATCAACGTTTCTATGCTATAAAAGGTGCGATCTGCGTTGTCTATTTTTGGTAATGTGCCCGACTGAATTAAACATAGCAACCGCATAGAAATTTGCGGTCCCGTGATGATCTACGCTAAAATTTCATTGGCCAAAAACAAACTGAAGATCGTCACTGACGTTAGGATAAGGGTGAGCATTGAAATGTTAGTAATGAGGGCCCTGCATATAGCAAAATTTTGCAAGGAAGTTTTTTTGCTAAGACGCAAAAGGTGGTTTTGTAATCAAAATTTTGAGTTATGGACGAGTTTTTAAAAACAGCCAGCAGTTTGTTTTCTTTTCACGTTACACCTGATCATGTGTCGTGATTAGTGATGTGCCGAGTACAGTACTATACGCTAAATTTTTTGCCGATCACTTTTTCCAACCAATCAGATGCAGAAAAAGAACTATACGTACAGTACGTACTGTACGCTAAAATTTTTCAGGTATCATATAAATGGCACATCACTAGTTGTGATTGGTTTAAAATCACATGTCCGCGGACATTTTATGCGGTTGCTATGTATAATGTTCGCCCATATATTACTAAACTCGTCATTGATCGCTCGCCATAAGTCATGTGAGAAGGCCGTTAACGTAAGAGAAGAGTCCCAACCAGATTCTACGTAGTGTAATCCCGGGTTGAGGCATACAAGAGAAGACAAGAATTAGAATAAGAATAGGTTGAAGGAAAGACTCAAGGAGGAGACCAGTACTTACCTAAGGATAAACCCACCAGCCAAATCTAATACGCCTATTTAAACTTAGCCGCCGTAGGTTACGCGAGAGTTGGATTAGATTAGCGACAATTCCGAACTACAATAATATGAAGAATCACTTGCAGATTTAAATAAATCATTAGAATTTGAACCAAACAATGCAGAAGCATCAAGAATTCGAGTTGATGCTTATCGCATGATGAATAAATATAAAGAGTCACTCACAGATTTAAATAAATTATTGGAATTGGAATTTGAACAAAATAATGCAATTTCATTAGGATATAAGAACTTGTTTGAATGGATTCCATTTGATAGGTTGTTTAATCTTCAAATGATTGGTAAAGGGGGATTTGGGACAGTATTTTCTGCAATCTGGCTAGATGGATAACCAATATTTAAGGATAATTTACAAGAACGTAAATAATCGTGCAAGGTTGCACTTAGAACTCTTAGCACTTTTAAAGAAGTAAGTTCAAGGTTTTACCATAGCGCTTTGTAAAAAAAATGTGATTAGAAGATATTCGGCGTAATATGAAAAATTTCTGTTATTTTCGTATGTCCTATATGATATTATTGTTCATATTATATTAGCATGTGAAATTTTTTGTCATAAATGATAATGTCATTATATAACAATAAATACTGAAATATCAAGCCAAAAAAAATTTTACATGATCATATCACATCACATGAACAATAACGGTGGGATATTTTAAATCGTATTTTCAATGGATTTTGGCAATCCTGACAGTAAAATTCTGGAAATTTCCTTTTACGTAAGACAATTTCCGACTCGATTTTTCATGAGACAGAAAATTTTGTCAACTACAATAACGATTTCCGACTCGATCTTTCATGGGATGGAAAATTTTCGTCATCTATAATAACGACTTCAGAGTGTGGTTTCTAAGTTCCGGTTAGGAAAAAACACTTCCGGCAAAAACTAATCAGACACCTGGTATGCATCACATAAAATAATTATTTTACACTACCAGACCATTCCGCTAGTACATGTTATAATTATAATAAAACAGGTTAACATGTCTTAGCGGAATGGTCTGGTATTGTAAAATATTATTTTATGTGTTGCACACCAGATGTCTAGAGTTCCAATCCGTATTAATCCATCATCTGTTATATCCGCATACTACAGGTGCCGGATTAGTTATATAACACCAACAGTTTCTCCTTAGCACCGATCCAGACAAACAAAATTCCGGAAAATATTGATTGAAGCTACAGTTGTTATTATTATTCTTGTGACACCTTGTGAAAAATTACGGCTGTTTTCATAAATCCTGAAAATCTGGCAAAAATTGACCGATTCAATAAGTTTTGATTCGGCAGTCATAGGCAGAAGTTTGTCTGATTGGCTAATAAATTCAATTTAATTTTACATTGTTTATACAGTTTCGAGTACTTTTTAAAAAAACGAAAACCAACCATAATAAAGTAAAAAAAAACTGTATAGAAGGTTTCATTAGAGCTATAGGACTCCATAGCCAAAAATAAGATCTAATTCTTGTCCGTTTAAAAAAGTTAATATAGTAATAACTTCCCAAAATCCGATAATATCACTTATTACTATGCTAATTTTTTTAAACGGACAAGAATTAGATCTTATTTCTGACTATGGAGTCCTACAGCTCTAATTAAACCTTCTATACAGTTTTTTTTTACCTTATTATGGTTGGTTTTCGTTTTTTTTTTAAAAAAGGTACACTAAACTGTATAAATAATGTAAACTTAAATAGAATTTATTAGCCTACCAGACGAACTTCTGCCTATGAATTCGGCAGTGATAAACTTTTGATTTGAATATAATCACATCCGAATCAAAAGTTTATCACTGCCGAATCAAAACTTATAGAATCGGCAAATATTCGGTCGGTCAATTTTTGCCCAGATTTTTAGGATTATTCTGCCGATTCGATAAGTTATTGATTTCGGCATGATCAATGTAACGTTTATTATTTACAAAGATAGTCTAAAACCAGGTACGTACGTAGATGCTAATCGATTTGTAAGGCTTTAAATGACAACTATTTAGGGTGCTGTGACAACTATTAATCGATAATGACCAGATAACCAATATCGATATGTATTAACTTTAGAAGCATATTCAATCGAAAAAAAATTTAGAAGGGTTATAATTTCGAGTTTTTAACCAATAGGGGGTTTCAAAGTTAATCTAATTTTGACAGAAATGAAGATGACGTATTTATTTACTTATTATGTGAAAAGTCTAACTGATATTTGTATGAGTTACAATTAGAAATAGAACTTTAGTTAGGACGTGAAAGTAGAGATCATTTGAAGGCTTGTAGTTTCACGTACGTTTTAATTTGCAAATCGATTAGCACCTTCGTACGTACCAGGCTTTAGGCATCTTTGTAAATTATAAACGTTACATTGATCATGCCGAAATCAATAATTTATCGAATCAGCAGAATAACCATTCGGTTAATTTTCATGAGGTATCCCAGGAATTATGATAACAGCTGTAATATGACACGGCTAATTTGTCTGGATTTGGACCTTTTCGGGTTGTCTGTCGGGATTAAGGTGTCTGACGAATAATAAACTTTTGTATTGACGATTGACGAACCTTTCATCAAGCAATTTTTGAAGGACGAAGCCTATGATGATTTAATGATACATACTCTTTTCTTTCATAATTGGTTTATGTGAAGTTAATGCTTTTGTTTTCATTATCATATCCACTGCGATACTAAATAAAAAATTTAATATTCGACATATCCGGAGGTCATTATAAGAAACTTGATGAAAGATGGTTAACTATAGTTTGATTTTTCATTGCCAAATTGATTCGTTCGTCAATTCAAATGGTTCCATCAAGTGTCTTTAGTTTGAATTTGATCAATTCAAATTTTCAATACGTGTATTTACGCTGCATTTACCTTAAACTTATAAAATTTTTGAAAACAAAATCATTTTTTACAAAGCGTGATAAAAAATATATTGAATATTATAATTATTCTGACAATTAAAATTGTATTCCTAATTTAATATAAATAGTTTGAAAACCACGTCCGATGTAGATTGAATGGTCTTGGGCTTGAGATATACGGAATATAGAAACTCAGAACTACCTCAATATGCTGATAAGGGAAGTCTGTACAATTTTCTAGTATTAAATTTTAAAGAACTCGATTTGGAAAGTAAATTGACATGCCTTATAGATATATCAAATGATTTGGCTAGGATTCATGGATCAGGATATGTTCATTGTGATTTCATAGTGGAAATGTTTTACTAAGTCAATACAAAAATATTTTCATAAAGTCTTTTATTACGACTTAGGATTATCTAAAGGTCTGAAAGAATGAATCAGCTTCAAAAGGTGACGTTTATGGGGTCATGCCATATATTGCACCAGAAATTTTATTTGGTGAAAAGTATACGCAAGCTTCTGATATATATAGCCAATGTATTATTATGACAGGATTATCAATTGGTAAAAGGCCTTTTTATGGTTATCCGTTCGACTCGATACTTGCATTGGATATTTGTAAAGGATTACGGCCCGAGTGTTCTGAAAGAACACCTGAATGCTACATTAAATTAGCTAAGCAATGCATGGATTCCGATCCATATAAGCGACCTAGTGCTAAAAATATTAGCTCTGAACTTTTAAAATGGCGTATGATTGTGATGAATCCCTCATTGGCTTATGAAGAATCAGATATTATGAGGAGCTTTATTTCTGCTGATGACGAGATCAAAACAACGGAAATTACCTTGCCGAATTACCAAAGCTCAATGTATACTAGCAGATTAATAAATACTAAAGAGATTAAAGTAGCGTATGAATCAGCTAAATTTAGAGGTAATTTCAGAATTTTGAAAGATATAATTGTGAAACCACGTTGTTACTATCATACCAATTTTAGATCATAATCTGTTTTAAAAACTAATAACAACTAATGTTCAATAATTTAATATGATCAAATACTTATGATTGTAACAACAGCTGGATGATAACGTTATCGTATGAGGGAAAAATCGATAACAATCAGGATTGTAAATCGTAATTTACATACCTTACACTTAACTTGCACGTAGATTACGTGTAAGGTGATGCAAATTTATGATGTATAGTAAGTTATTATAATATTATTGTAAAAAAATACATACAGTCTAACCTCTCTATCACCACACCGTCAGAATCATAGTGACTTTTTTTTAAAAGTGCTTATAAAGAATTATAGTAGTTGGTTTTAAATTTTTATACGATGTGCTTAGCTATGGGGAGGCATGACTGTAAACCAATCAATATCGATATAAAAAATTATTGTAAATTTACAATCCTACTGACAACACGAATGTGCATTAGTAATCGGATCAAATATCTTTTAGATATATTTTGGCTGCTATCGCGGCCAAAAATCAATTTGATAGGTATTTGATTCGATTGCTGCATGAAAAATTCTGTGCCATCTACAAATCATATTTCAAGATTCAGACGTAATGTAACATGACCAAAACAAACGTTTGTTTTGTATTTTCTAAAAAAACCACATAAAGAACCACTTTTAGGGCTCTAACAAAAGGTTTTTCTGGAGCGATTTTATTATGTAATCATCACTCATTAAGTTTATTCTAAACACTAACGCTACTATTAATGAACTTTGAAAAATTTTGTCACGCATAATGATCGACAAAACCTGGCACATAATTTTTTCGTGTTCGATCGCTGACCCACACTTGCACCGAATTTTTTTTAACCGCTATACAATAACTTTTAATTATTCATCTATTCATTCTAAATAATTAATCATACATATAATAGATTCAAAAATTTTCAATCTTAGCGTGTCCAATATTTAAAATGGCCAATTATAATTATGCATTAGTACAGATATAAAAAACGATGATTGAGGGTAGGGTGTCCAGTGATACTCTCCTAAATGCACACTCTTAGGTTCAGAAGTAAGTGTGCACTTAGAGCGAGTGTACTTTATAGAGGTTTTGTAAATTATTATTTTGTGCACAATTTTATTATGCTTATTTGCTTCGTTTAGTAAGAGCAAAATATTCTTTTATCCAAAATGCTGTTTCTTAGACCATTATCTTAATCGGATTACCATTGTAACTATTATATTTACTTAAAAAATTTTAGCAAAATTTTGAAAATTATCATTTTACAACTATATTAATTGCTTTGAATTTAAGACAAAAATGGAGGTATCCACTCCAATTACAAAAAACTCCATCCAGATTATTGGTGACTTGAATAATTTCTTCTGATGAGTTATTATCTTTTTTGTGTGTGATTTTGACAAAACAAATCACATGTTATATAAGAAAACAATCAGTTTCATCAAAATACTGAATGTAATACTTTTAACTCTAAATCTTTATTAACCACTTTTTCATGTAATACATTCACACATATTCAAATTTAAAATTTGAACAATTTACATGCTGAGTTATATAGAACTACCTACCTCTTTAGAGTTCAAGTTAGCCAACGATGATAATAAATAAATAATTTACGTTTAACTTTAAAGTCAATGCACTAATAAATTATTTACGCAATAAAGATGATTGATTTACTTTTATGAAAGAAGCAATGACTAAATGTATATAAAGATAAAGATACAATAGACATATAGTAGGCATTTTTTGCATATGAAGACACGACTACTTTTTATTAATTAATTAAAATGAGGAATTCCTGATGGATTATCGGGGCTTTTTATATATTTTGTTAACTGTAGATCTTTCTTTACCAATCTTTACTTCACTTACTAACAGTAATCTAAATATGCTGGTGAAATAAACTAGAATGGAGAAATAATTTTGCTACTATCAGTAAAATTGATGTTGTGTTTGTGAAATTTGGTGAAATTAATTTCACCTGCATCTCTACTAAAATATGAGTAATACGAGTAGTAGTGGTGTATGGTTTAGTAAAGTAGTAGAGTATAATACATTAAATTAGTAAACACGGGAGTATGAATGATTAGTTCACAACTGAATATAAAGTGTATAATATGCAAATGTATATAAAATTTATGCAAACAGGACGTTAGAGAAAACTAGACTTCGGGCTTTAAAACTTATAAATAAAATTGGGTCAGCAAATCCAGCGTCATCGGTTTTATTTTGATGTGTCAATGCAGTTATTCTTACAACGAAACTTTTTATAACGAACGCATCTATGCTCTATAATAGTATAATAAAATTTTAAAAAATGTTTATTAGAACCCAGCATCGGAATAGTGAACTACTTCTATAAGGAACATAAAAATTTTTTTATTATAAGAACTGTCAGTTCATTATACGAAAGTTAACTGTATACATATGTTGTTATTCATATGTCGACAAAAAGTAAAGGTAGCCTATAAGTAGAATACAAGAAAACAACAGATTCACGTTACAGTAAAGTTCCCACTACACCTATAGCCTCGAAAATGTTATATAATTAATTCTATTATATCAAGAGTTCACTCTAACAAAGGTGAGCTGTATTTGGATACTGACTCTTTTCGTTATCTAACTCGTGAGTTTATTTTTAGAACTTTACAACCTTTTATATCTTCGTTCTAATTATTTATTTGTGTTAATTTGGTCATGATTGAAGGAAGATTCGGTTATAAATCCAGTTACAGCTAAAGTCTACTATTACAGGTTTCTTTGGACATAACGAACTTTGAAAATTTTAAATTTATATTAAGTTTGTAACATGTGGATTTTGTATACTTAATAATTCAATACCATTTGAAAAATTCAATTCATGTTTACTTTTCATTTTAAATCTGATCAAGATGAATAATTTTTATGTTAGAAATAATAAAGGTCGAAATATCCTTGTACACCAAAAATACAAAAACATATCACGAAGATAGCATTTTTATATATTAAATGGTTTTAATTTAGGCCAAAATACAAATTTTTTAAAGCCAATTTTTACAAAAGTCTTACACCCACATAACCTTTAGAATTTGGATGCGCTCCAGCCCACGTAAGGCTAGATATTAAAACTTTATTAAATTGCTTTAGAAAGCATACATCAGTGCGATTGATGTATAAATAAGTTAACGACTTATAGCATCAGCCGGTCCACTTGCATACTGCAGGCCGGTTGTGAATATCCTAGGGTGCGAATGTTTCGCTTTCAACGGCTGTTGCCTGGTCGCTTGCTGATGTTAGGCCTCATATCTGGTCCCTTTCCATCTTGGCATTTGTCTTGTTATATGTCTTGAGTATTTAATTAAATTTGCTTATCAAACTCTCACATATGCACGTACTCCATTCTTATCTGGGCATTGATGGTGCCCGGTTCCCCATGTGATTGTCAGTATGTAGCGCTTTATATGCAGAAGTTCGTCTGATTGGATAATAAATTCAATTTTAAATTATTTTTCCAGTTTAGAGTACTTTTTAAAAAAAAACAAGTAAAAAAAACTATATATAATGTTTCGTTAGAGCCGTAGGATTCCATAATCAAATTAAGATCCAATTCTCGTTCGTTTAAAAAATTAGCTTAGTAATAAGTTGATTTTGTCGGGTTTTGAGAAGTTATTACTATGCTAACTTTTTTAAATGGACAACAATTAGATCTTATTTTTGGCTATTGTCACCATCGAATGGGAGAGCTTCCGACAACCATGCCGAGTTTAACTCCGATAGTTGACATAAGAGAGATACGGAAATCTGATGATAAATTAGAGAACGCGGATTTTACATGTTTAGTAGGCATTCATTGTTATTATATAAAAGAATGTAGGTTTATGTATTCTTTATTTTAGAGACGATTTCAGAGAGCATTATTCCTCCTGATCTAAGGGTCAAAGCAACCTTTTAAATACATTCTCAATTCTTATAAGGTCTATGCTAAAAACATATCACCTATGTCCTATCTCTGAATCCCATATGCTTTCCCGCAGGCAACTCATTTATGCAAGGGCATATATGTGATTAGAGGAAACTCACATACCAGGAACGGAGTTTGTACAACGCCCGCCCAACGGGATTTACTTATTTGTGCCAGTAATACAATCCAAAAAATAAAATTTGATTTATAAATAAACAAAGTGCGTAAAACACGTATTTAGGGTTGGAACGTTAACATTAGAGGCTATAGCGATAGACCATCGTTCATTATATGTAAAATTTCGTTTCCGACATTTTTAATTAGTACACCAAGGCTAGTTTAAACACTAGTTTGAGTTTTTTTCGCTTTTTCTTCTTTTACACGCATTCGGAATTCATGTCGGGCTGATCCGGAACGATCAAAATTTGAATTCACTGATTGGCTATTTCCTTTTTAGGAGTTTGTATTACCGGCACAAATAAGTAAAGCCCGTACAACATAGAGTATGTTTTACAGGAAGCTTGTGATCGGTGACGGGTATGTCGATCACCTACCTTAAATGGGTTTACCTGCAGTATACGCTGTATTCGCTGTATACCATGTATCCTATGCATCGGGTGAATAATGGGTATCAGTGGGATCAAGGATATAATTAAAATTATCAGTATAAACATTATCATCAGTATAATTAGTATAAACGTTATAAACGATATATCACAAATAAAGTGTATAACGTGTCCTATGTAAATGAAAGTATATAATAAAGGCTTCGAGCCTTCCAAGAACAGTTTAGTTAGTTCTCATCATAAATTCGCTCCAAATAATTTCTCTGTTTAATCTTATTATAAAGTCTACGATCATAAACACACCACTCGCCAAATCTAACCACCTCTTATCAACTAATCCGATTCGTAGGTTCCACGATGTATCCCGATGCTGGTTCGATGGTGTCACTATAACTAGGTGTAAATGGAGTTAGCAATGAGTATGTTGCATTGTAAGAATTTTACTAGTACATAGTGTATGTATATTAGAGTTGGTACTCGAAATGAAACCTACCCGAAACTAGTTTCGGAAGGTTCTAATCCGAAACTCCGAAACCTGAAACTCCGAAACTATAATCCGAAACTC